GACTCTTGCATTTTGAGTTAAGTTAATCGATAGCTTTTACTCACAAATTTTCCCGCTACAGAAAAGTGGCGACTCTGCTAGAGAATCTGGTTCTTAGTGGGTTTAACCTACTTTGATTCGTTTATGCTTTATTTGTTTGATTTGTTTGTTATTGGTTGTTCTGTTTGGGTGATCTTGAGAGGTGAGATAGATCCTATACCCGGATTTGAGAGCTCTTATGATAGGAGGATGGTATAGTCAAGGATGCTTCTAGGGAGTAATCCCGAACAAGCTGAATTGAGAATCTATCCACTCAGGCGAGGCTTCCTCAGAATTATGATGTCTAGCAAGTAATCGCGAAAAACATTACTTTTTCGACCTCAGGCCTATGATACTGAGGACTTTAGTATCCCTTTTACCCCATTTGGCGTATTAGAACGTAGTGTCGTGGCTATAAAGGTGTAAACCTGAAATATTTGATACACGATACTACACTCATACGAGGTTCTCTTGAGAATATTATTGATTCCTGAGTAATCGACATGCTAGTAATATTTGAAAGAGGATTGATGACTCTGGGAATTTTTTTTAGAACCCGTTCTACAAGTGATGATATAAACTTAATGCATACCACTGTGGACCAATGAGGACGCCATCACACGAGAAAAACAAGTACTTTATACTCTTCATTGATGACTTCTCTAGAATGGCATGAGTCTATTTCCTAAAAGAAAAATCAGAAGTATTAGGATTATTCAAAAAGTTCAAGGCCCTTGTTGAAAATCAAAGTGGAAAACGGATAAAAGTACTAAGAAGTGACCGCAGAAAAGAGTACACCTCTCGCGAATTTGATATATTTTGTGAGGATGAAGGCATATAACAACAACTTACAGTCTCATATTCTCCTCAACAAAATGGTGTGTCAGAGAGAAAGAGTTGCCCGATTATGGAGAAGGCTAAATCGATGCTCATGGAGAAAGAACTGCCTAACACTTTTTGGGCTGAAGCAGTCTACACTACTGGTTACATACTCAACTGATGTCCAACTAAGGCAGTACAAGATAAGACTCCAATTGAAGTTTGGAAGGGGAAGAAGTCGTCAGCAAAGCACCTAAGGGTCTTTGGATCTATCTACTATATTCACATTCCAAACGTGAAGAGGCATAAGCTTTAAGACAAGACTATACGAGGTATCTTCCTAGGGTATACCACAATCTCTAAGGGCTATCATGTCTACAACTTAAAAACTAAGAAACTCATCATCAGTCGAGATGTTGCAGTTGATGAGTGCTTCTTGGAATTGGGATGAAGAAAAAGTGGAGAAGAACATTCTTATACCATCTCAATTACCTCAAGAAGAAACTAGGGAAGAAGACCTAAGTGAACCACTTTCACCTCTACCACCATAACAAGCATAAGAACTATCATCACCAGAGTCTACTTCAAGATGAGTAAGATCTTTGGTGAACATATATGAAACCTACAATATGGCCATACTTGAACCTGAAAGCTTTGAATAAGCGTCAAAGAAAGAAGTATGAGTCAAGGCAATGGAAGAGGAGATAAAGATGATAGAGAAAAACAACACATGGGAGTTAGTAAATCGTCCCCATGGAAAATATATCATTAGGGTTAAGTGGGTTTATAAGATAAAGCTCAACCCAGATGGCACCACACAGAAACACAAGGCGAGGCTAGTAGGTAAGAGTTACTCACAACAACCCGGTATTGACTACAATGAGACATTTGCACCAGTAGCTCGTCTTGATACCATAAGAGCTCTAATAGCTCTTGCAGCACAAAAAGGATGGAGTATACATCAACTAGATGTCAAATCAGCTTTCCTCAATGGCGTACTTAAAGAAGATATCTATGTGGAGCAACCACAAGGATATGTGTCTGAAGGCGAAGAAAGCAAAGTGTTAAGACTAAGAAAAACACTCTATGGTATGAAGTAAGCACCCCGAGCATGGTATATCATAATCGATCAGTATTTCGTAGATCGAGGATTCAAGAGGAGCATGAGTGAGCCTACACTATACATCAAGTCTCGAGGTCAGTACACTCTCTTTGTCTCTCAATATGTAGATGATCTTATCTATACGGGAAATAATACTGACATCATGACGAAGTTCAAAGAAGACATGATGAAGACCTTTGAGATGACCGATCTTGGTTTGATGAGTTACTTCCTCGATATAGAAGCAAGTCGGAGAAATGACAGGATATTCATCTTGCAAAAGAAATACACAAAAGGCTTGCTTAAGAAATTCAAGATGTACGATTGCAAACCTGTTGCTACTCCACTCATGACAAATGAGAAACTACAGAAGAATGATGGAGCACCAGAAGCTGATGAATCGATATACAAAAGTCTAATTGGAAGCCTCATATATTTGACAGCTACACGGCCAGACATAATGTATGCTACAAGTCTTCTATCAAGATTCATGCAAATCCCAAGTGAAATACACTTTGGAGTAAGAAAAATAATTTTGAGGTATCTATAAGGAACAAAAGAGTTCGATATATGGTACACTACCGAAACTGGCTCAAAATTACTTGGCTACACCGATAGTGATTGGGCAGGTTCAGTAGATGACATGAAGAGCACCTCTGACTATGCTTTCTCCCTAGGATCAAGGATTTTCTCTTGGGCGTCAAAGAAGCAAGCTACAGTTGCACAGTCAATTGCAGAAGCAGAGTATGTGGTAGCTGCTGAAGCAAAAAGTCAAGCTATATGGCTCTGCAGGATACTTGAAGACATGGGAGAAAAACAAAATGAACCTACTAAAATCAATTGTGGCAACAAATTAGCAATTGCAATGGCGAAAAATTCAGTGCATCACATCAGAATAATACACATAGCAATCAAGTATCACTTTATCAAAGAAGGTGAAGCAACTAAAGAAATCAAACTCGACTACTATAGGATAGGAGATCAAATTGCAGACATATTTACGAAGGTGTTGCCGAGACCAAGATTTAAAGAGTTACGCTTGAAGTCACCGAAATTTGCATCAAGGAGGAGTGTTGAATTGCTACAAATTTCTAGAATATTCTTAACTATAATATGTATGAAAATATTAGAAGAACCTAGAACTATAATGTATGAAAATAATATAAGAACCTAGAACTATAAATGTATGGAAATGATAGAAGAACCTAGAACTATAATGTATGAAAATAATATAAGAACCTAGAACTATAAGTGTATGAAAATGATAGAAGAACCTAGAACTATCATGATACTAATCTATCATGAAATATCTAGAAAAAACTAAAATGATGTAGAAACACTAACCACAATTGAGAGGTTGGTAAGTTGAGCCTTATAAATAGGCAATTGGTACTTTGTAATTGAACATCCAAGAAATCAATACCATAGCCTTCTTTCTAATTAATTTTCTACAACTATCTATACCAACCATCTAAAGATAGAGAAAAACACAAGAAATGGGGTTTGAATTGTGTTTTTACCAAATATAAACTTTTCAGACTTTCAGCACAAAAGTTAACAAGTGAATAAAAATAGATAGACACAAGTATTTTTATCCTAGTTCGTTGTTAACTAAGTTACTCCAGTCCACCCGCCAAAGTGATTTCGCCTTCAAAAGAGGACTTAATCCATTAATCTTGAAAGATTACACCAAGTTCGTCTAAGTGTTTAGAAAAACACCTTAGTCCTCTCAAGTATACATACTAACACTTAGCCATTTAAGGAAAAATAATATTAGAGAAAATACAAAAAAGGTGTTTACAATGATGCTTTTAAAAAGCTAATGAAACAATTTAAGAACAATGTTTACAGAAATATGAGCAACAACTCTTTGTATTTTAAAATCCTTTTGATAGATTTTTAGACTGTGCGAATTTCACTCTTATAATGTTAATAGATGTTTTTTTTTGCAGTGAGGAAGTGACTCCTTTATATAGCTGGATGGTTGAACGTTGGGGGGCATAAATGTCAATGTTAAAGTCAGTTGTTGCAACGGTAATACGAAGACCGTGAGAGACAAGAGTAGTAAAGTCTCACCATATTCCTTAGAAATACTGACGTAAAATCAGTTTATACCATATTGAGAATGTACTATTTGTATGGATTCTTTTACCACACGTTTCTATCTAAACCTTGTCTTCTGATGAATTGTATCCGATGGGTCTAAAAGATAAATGACTGAAAGATATCAGAGTCTTCAAAGTCTTTCAACGTCTTCAGAGTCAGAAGCTGTATTCACTTAATTCTTCTTAGAGAATTCTGTCAAAGGCTTGAATATCAGAAGAGAGTGAAACAGATCTTCAAAACTCAAAATCTGGACTCCAAAGCTGAAAGCGAAGCTTTTTTGAAGCAGCACATAACTTTCTTTTTCTTCAGAGCCATTCAACATTTATCAGAACTGTTGATGATTCTTCAAAATCGAATGAAGTAGTTTCTTGAGACGTGCCAGAAGGATTCTGATGAAGTTTTTTGAGAATTGTTTAGAATTAATTTAAATTTTATAATTACACACTTCAAAAAATATTAGAATACAAAATTATTATATATAAAATATATGTAATGTTAAAAATTATAGCAAAACCAAAATCTTATTCTAACACTTTCAACTACACAAATAGTAATATGTAGCCCAAAATAATTTTTATTTTATTTTAGTTGATAGTAGATGAATGAAGTTGATTGATTTAATCATTAATCGTAACGAAGGGGCAGATATAGAGAATTAGTTAGTTTACCAACCACCAGAAGCGGCTTCGAAATGCGTAAGACTTAGCAATGCGTGCATTTATAAAATATGGTCCCACCAATGTCAGAATAGACAAATACTGATAGTCCGGACGGCACGGAATACTGGATCCTCCGCTCACATAACTGCCCGCTACTGAAACTGTCAGCAGCATTTACTACCTCCTCCCCAATCATCATCATATTAATCGCTACTGCTAGGTTTCTTTCAACTCTCTGCAATTTCATCTTCGTTTTCGCTCATTGCATAAACTCGAATCGCGTGTGTTTTTGATCGATGGGGAAAAAACGCGTTCTGGTGCCGGCGAAGGACGTTGATTTGAGTTTGGTTCAATACGAGCCTGAAACTGTTCAAGGTTGTTTATTCCGCTAACTAGATTTTGCTTCTTTTGTAAACGAATTTCACTCGAGTTTGTTTGATGATTGATTTTTTGTTTTGCAGCTCCGCATTTGACTGGCTTTGGGTTTAGATTGCTTGTGAGGCTAATTGAAGCTCCATTGATAGGTCCTCTTCTCATGAATTATTTGAAGAAGGAAAATAAAATTGATGAGGTTTGTGTGAGTGAGTGAGTGAGAGTGAGTGTGCGCGCTTGATTGTTTACTTGTTTTTTTGTTGATGAAATTGAAATTGTTACTCAATGTTTGCGCATTTTTATGTTGAAGTTTTATTCGTATCTTTATAATACTTGAGTTGGTTTGATATTGCATTGACTTTGCCGGATTGAATTGAAAGTATGCTGAGTATCCGGCAATAGTTGATGTTTGGCATTGACATCATACTGACACATGTGGTGGTTTCAAATTATTTTTAGGTGTTGATGTTTGTGTGTGTGTGTGTGTGCGCACATTGTTAACTGACTTTACCTTGAGTCTACAAGTTTTACAATTGATTTTTTTGGTTATGATGTGAACAGTTATTGCGGAACACTGTGATACCCGAGGAACCCATGTTTAAACCTGAATATCCGCCTCAAGGTGATTTCTCCTCCTATATACTTTATATTTTTGAATTAGAGGTGTTCTTGTGCGTGAAATTTGCGTAGATTTGAATAAAAAAGCTTGATTCATAATGATTGCTTGGGATTAGAAAAGGAGGAATAAAGTAACTTTAGAAAGAGATAAAAAAACGAGGAATTGTGTCAAATTATTTGCATTGCATTTGAAGAAACATGTTTGGCTATATAATAATCAAGCCTGATGTTGTAACATATATCCAGAAAAAGAACCTGGTGTTGTTGAGCTTGACGAAGATGGGAGACCGGAAGACCGAGTTAAGTCTGCCTTGAACTGTCTTCCACATTATGATCCTGCTGAATTATGGGAAAGTTCATCCGCACCCTTTCGGTACTGGAAAATACGTGATTATGCTCATGCTTATCGGTTTAGAAAACTAACCCCATCTATGGTATGTGACATTCAGTTGAGAGCAACTTCTAATGCAAAAATGTCTTTATTCTAAATTAATTTGTTAAATGAAACAATTTTACTTTGAATTCATAGGTTGCTGAACGCATAATCTCAATTATAGAGGAGAATGGAATTGATAAACCTCCGACACCACTATTGATAACTTTTGATGCTTCAGAAGTCCGGAAGCAGGCAGCAGCATCTACTCAGAGGTTTGAAGCAGGTAATCCTTTATGATTCAAATCCTCATATAGATGTTTAAGTGTAAATCTTCGAGACAGGATTACGTTGAGATATGGTGGGACTAGGCATGGATAATTACTGTAGTCACACTTTTGGAATTTATACAGGAAATCCATTATCAATATTGGATGGAACTTTCATAGCTATTAAAGATGACATAGACTGCCTTCCTCATTCGTCTAAGGGTAAGCAATTTTAGGATCTGACTTGTCGTGAATAATTAAAGAAACACACTTAGATTATCTTTTGGTGACGGCAGGTGGATCTACATGGCTGCATGAGGTACGTACTGTAAAGAAGGATGCTGTCTCTGTTTCAAGACTGCGTAGCTGCGGTGTCATATTCCTAGGGAAGGCAAATATGCACGAGTTTGGCATGGGTACGACAGGAAATAATCCTAATTATGGGTAAGCTTATATATATTTTACTATTTATTGATGTCGTTGTAAACATAAAAAGGCATTTGGCATGTTAGAAAGTTGATATCTGCTTGGTTTATCTGGTACGTATTTAGGAGTTTAATGTTTTTCACTCTTCCTTCTTCCGAGTGAGGGGACGGAAGTAAGATGTCAACAAGTGTGTTCATATTTTCATTCCTTCTGTATTCATTTCACTCTTTTTTCCATCACAAGCTTAAGAACCATTGGAAGATAAAAATAAATGTTACACTGAAAGCAAACTAATGGGGGGACACTTGAAGAAATATATGAGTAATGGAGAATTGGACACTCATATGCACAAGAAGATCATGATTTGTTGAAACGAGAAATCATGATTTAGGTATTCTGCCAAGCCAACACGGCAGTTGGGGGAAGTGACGGGTATCTTTGAGAGTAACAAGATAAAACGGAAGGGAAGGAGTGGGGAAGGGGTGAGGAAGAAATGAACGTGCTACTAGATATGAGGTTACTGATCTCTCAAATTACCCGTGTCTGTGTGTAACATGATAAAAAGACAGGAAATGAGTGAAAAGAGTGAGTAAGCAAGAATTGAGTGTTTGGCTGGATGCAAGGTTGCTGTGTTACAGGTCTCTCAAATGACCTGTGTTATCGTTTCTTTTTGTTTGTTTTCTTTAAATTTTACCCCAGACTCTCGGTTCTCTGCAATTATCATGTTCGATTCCCAGTTTCGATAATTTAAAATTTTTGTACCACACGTCATATCAAAACTCAAAAGCTTTCAGGAAATTACAGGAAACTTTCCAATAATGTTCTTTGCTTGAATCTAATATACCCTTGAAAATTATTTTGGTTTGCTCATAGTTTTCTTACGTTCTTCATCAAAATATGCATACATGACTGTTCAACTGATTTTCTTGAGTTGCAGAACTGCAAGAAATCCTCATGCACCTGATAGGTACACTGGTGGATCTTCTTCAGGTCCAGCTGCAATTGTTGCTTCTGGACTATGTTCTGCTGCACTTGGAACTGATGGTGGAGGTTGTGCAAATCTGATATGTCAAACTATTTCTTTGCACCAGTTCTATATTGATTCTCATTTTTAAAAATTGTGAAGGCAGGTTCTGTCCGTATTCCTTCTTCCCTATGTGGCGTGGTAGGATTGAAGATAAATTATGGGAGATCAAGCATGGAAGGGTAATTTCTCACTATGTGATAGATCAATCATAACCATTCTCACTATGTGATAGATCAATCATAACCAGATCTTCGTGTGTACTATTTGTTACTCAAGAAAATTATTTTTACCTCGTTTTAGGCTGTAGGAGCAATTATATTTTGTGATCTTATTCTATATCATTTGGGGTCATGATTGCCCATTTTGTATTAGGGCAATGAAATGAATTTGGTTACCAGTTTGGAGCATCTAGGATTGATTCTAGATGTGTAAAGTTGATTTGACATGTTTGGTTGCTTTTGAGTAGAATTGATTTTGCTTTCAAAATTGATTCTAACTTGAAGCTAATATTTCTAGCTTTGAGTGCAAGCATGATTTTTATACTGAAATTTATCGTTATGCACACTTTTTTGTAAATGTCTCCAAACAGAAATCACTTTACATTTAACATCGTTTTAATCAGAATAAATTTTACTCAATCAACTAACTCAAAATCAATTTTAGTGTTGGAATTTCTGCCTTCATTGTGGTCCGCCCCAAGTCGCTTAAATTGCGGCATTTGGCATGCCTTCATTGCAGCCTCCAACATCTTCATTGTGCTGGGTTTGAAGGGGTGAATTTAATTCCACATTACTTAGGGATATGGTATGTGTTGTGTTTATAAGTGGGGACAATCTTCACCTTACAAGCTGATTTTGTAGGGATGAGTTAGGCCCAACCCAAATTCTAAGATGGTATCTGAGTCTATCCTAGATCACTTGTGGGCTTCCCGCATCGTCCACGCTTCAATTGAGTAAAGATTACTGCAAATAGACCTTAAATATATTGATCAGATACTACATGTTCTGTGTTGGTCAAAATTCAATAATTAAATTAATAAGGATGAAAATACATCTGCTTTTATCTTGTAGGTTGTTACTATCAAATATATTATCTCTTGACATTGGTTTGAAGTAAGCTATGTTATTAGTTTATCTAAAAAGCTGAAACCTAGGGAATTAAGCTCACTAAACAATCCTCCTTTATTACATTACATGGGAAACAGTCCTGTCTTTTGGTAGGGAAGGAGCCTGTTTAACTTCTATTCTTCAAGCTTCGATTTTATTTTCATGTTCTAGTCCTAGGCTTTGGTGAATAATTGTTGTAGTGTGTTTTGTGATTGTTGGCTCTTCTTTTATGACTAGTGAAACATTTTTTATCTTTTGATAATATTGCATGATGCATTTACTCATTTCATTTGTACAAAAAGTTCATTGAAAACATGTTATCTTCTCATTTAGAATAAGTTTAGCAATTTTAAAAGTCTGAGAAACGTGTAATCTTTCCAGAATTCTATACATATATTTACAATGTACGTTTTTGGCATTGACATGGTTATAATGTAAAGATCTATAAATAATATATTTAGTTACATTAAAAACAATTAGTGTTTGACTAGCTAAATTTATTTATTTGGAACTCACTATTCATTTTTTTATTCATTTACAGGTCCTTATGTGATTCTGGGACAGTGGAAGTTATTGGACCCATTGCTTCTTCCGTAGAGGATGCAATGCTAGTGTATGCGACAAATATTTTTTCCTTTTTCCTTCAGTTTTCCTTTTTGAATAATTCTTTCATTTTGCAAGTCTGTATCTACTTTGTATTTGTCAAAAGACTAGTTATTTTACATCATTCCTCCGTTGACATGCAGGTTTTGTTCTAGTAACCTATTTATGTATTTTAACCTTCAACCAGCATCTATTTAGTACATCATTGTTAGATAGTACTTAATTTTTGTTGGTTCCTATTAAGGTGCAAACTTCTCATTATACAGTGTTATTCTAATGTAGAAGCAGAAGTTTTACCTGGGACTTTCAGTAGAAGTAAAGAGTTTATTTGGTAAATCGGTTTTAGAAACTAATAGTCAGTTTCAACCAAAATAAGTGAACACTCTCAAATTACACAGTAACAAAAACTAAATTAGTTCTCAGCTCTAATTCTTGTAAAATGCAATGCCTAGAATAAATGAAAGCTTCCTTACTGGCATTTTTATGGTTTACACACTAGGCCATCGTTTGCGTATTTTCTTTATTGCAGCATTTTCAAATTCTTTTGCTTTTTAGGGAAAGCTTCCCTTGATGATCCTTCCCACCATCCTTTTTGCTCATGCTAGATAAATTGTTGTTCCCTATTGAAATTTCAGAATTTGTTATTAATGATTTCATTGTTACTAAATACAATAGATTCAACTCTATCTATAGAGTAGTTGTTAGGCTAAACTAACTTCTAACTAACTCCCTTAAATCAAGGGAACAATTCCTGAATTCAAGGAGCTATTATAACAGAAACTGCATACTGTTAAACATAAACTAAGAGCATGTTGTTATAATATAAACTAACAGCATGTCAGCTGGAACAGACGCCAACTATCATGCCTTAACTGAAAGTATCTCTAATACCTCTTAGATATTGGAGTTCCTGTTTGACTAGGGATTTGTCAAAGACTCTCAGATTGCCTCTGAGATTCATGAAACGAGCTGGAGACAGGTTTAGTGAGCACATCTGCCCATTGATCTTTAGCTAGAATATGAGATGCTGCTAAACTGTTGTTCATTACTTTCTCCCTAGCAAAGAATATGTCAAACTCCATGTGTTTTATTCTGCAATGGAGAGTTGGATTATGAGCCAAAGAGACTGTACTTAAATTGTTACATAGTATTTGAGGAGCGTGAAACTTAAATTGAAGCTCGGAGAGAATGGATTGAAGCCAGAGAATTTCAGCAGATAGAGTGACAAGGCTCCTGTATTTTGCTTCTGCACTGGAACGGGCAACTAGATTCTGTTTTCTAGACAACTGTGATACATGCTTCTGAAGAGAGAATGGATTGAAGCCAAAGAATTTCAGCAGATAGAGTGACAAGGTTTTTGTATTCTGCTTCTGCACTGGAACGGGCAACTAAATTCTGTTTTCTAGACCACCATGATACAAGGTTTGGGCCTATATAGATACGTGCTCCTGAAGTTGATCTTATGTCATCTAGGTCTGTGGTCCAATCAGCATCACAAAACCCTGTGAAAATTAATGATTCAATGGGTTAGGTTGAATAAGAAGACCACGCTGCAATGTAGCTTTAAGGTATCTTAGGACACGCTTGACTGCCTTCCAATAATCTTATAGTGGTTGAGATGAAATTTACATACATTGTTAACTGAGAAAGAGATCCATGGCCTAGTGAGAGTACCATAGTGCAATGCACCAATAATAGAGCGATATAAGATAGGATCCTCAGCATAGTTTGACCCAGTCTTGGAGAGCTTACTGATGGGTATCATATGAATAATGATGCCGTTAACGTTCAGCTTTGTCCATGTGAGCTCTAATTAGTAAGTCCCTGATATATTTGGCTTGAGAGAGATGAAGTGAACCATGTGGTAAGTGAGTTATCTAAATACCCAAAAAAAGATCAAATCACTAAGTTGTTTGAGTGCAAAATCTGGATTGAGTTTGTTGATTAACTGCTGAATATGTGGTAAGAAATTTTCTGTGATTATATCATCAACATATACGAAAACTAGGATAGTTAAAGATGTTCTGATCATAAAGAGACTAGGATCACATTTACTTGCACTAAAACCATGTTGGATAAGGGCAGTTTGAGCTTTTCAAACCAAGATCTTGGAGCTTGTTTGAAGCCATAAAGAGCCTTGTTTAGCTTGCATGCTAAGTCCTTATTACTGTTCTCAAAGCCAGGAGGCTGCTGCATATACACTTCTTTCTCTAGATGGCCATTTAAGAAAGCATTATTAACATCAATTTGCTTAATTGGCTAGCTGTTGGTGACAACGATAGTGAGAATAGTACGGACGGTCACAGGTTTCATAAATAGGGAAAATCTGTGTATAGTCTGAACCAACTTTTTGATAGAAACCCTTAGCTACAAAGTCTAGCTTTGTATTTGTTAATACTACCATCAGGGTTCTCCTTAACCCTAAAATACATATTTGCACCCTATAGGTTTCCTGTGTTTGGAGACTCAACTGAAGTCCAAGTGCCATTATTTTCAAGAGCTACATATTCAGCTTTAATTGTAACAAGCTAGTTCTGATTGTTAGAATATTATGAAATAAGAGAAGCTAATTTCATGATCTGTTCTTGATTTAGAATTGAGTTTATGTATCATCCTTATAAGTAGGGATTAGTTTTGAGTCTTAGTATCAAGTCAATAGTCATTACCAGTAATAGTTTTCTCTCATCTTTTACACATAATCACAAATTCAACACTGATCATTAAGGGTCTGGGAAATAGTACAAGGGGTTCTATGTGGATAAGTAACAGGGTGGGATGTACTCCAGGTTGTCTGATGCCATTTATGACTATGGTTTGCCTGAGACGGGCATTATGAATAAGAGAGGAGGCAGGCTAAACTAATTTCTAACTATGCAATAATTCAATTTTATTTAAAGTTGTAGTTAGGCTAAACTAACTTCTAACTAACTCCCTTAAATCAAGGGAGCAGTTACTAAATTCGAGGAGCTGTTATAACAGAAACTTCATAAACTAACAGCATGTCAGCTGTCACGGGCACCAGCTGTCATGCCTTAATTGAAAGTATCTTTAACATTCTCGATGCAATGATAGTTTTCATGACTTCTGGTTGCTACGCGGACATTTTTCTTTAGCATTTAAGATAAAAGTGAGAGCTTCGTAAACTTAAATTCTCTTTAGTTTCCCTTCAATTTAAACTTATACTTGATTTCAAGACTACATATCTGCGGTTCTAATTGTTTGTTAGAGATAGCAATTAATAGTTGATGTTAAATATAAAGCCCAGATCAAAATAGCCTTCCTCTTGAAGATATATAATGAACTTTTTGTGTGCTCATAATTTAGGTATGCAGCAATGTTGGGCACATCACCTACAAATAGAATCAGTATGAATCCGGTAATTTTTAATCCTTTAATTGATATTGTTGCAGTGATAGGAAAAGCTGAGATTGGAAACTAAGATGTTGAAAATTAGATATCATGTACTAATTGTACATAGAAAAAAAGCAGGCAACCCTACGGTTTGCTCAAGTCAATTGTGGCGGATAACTACTATCATTAAAACAACATTGAGGTATAGGGAAAAAAAACAGATAACATTTCAAATGCCACTGTTAGATTGAGCTTATGAGAGACTTAAAAGTTATGATTGACCTCCTGAGATTTCTTAGAATGCTCATCTGGTAAGAATCCTGGGATTTTGGATTCCACTTTGCTAAATAGGGAAATGTGAACCATATGTAGAGGAGTAATAGAATAGATAACCATGAGTGAGGTAAAAAATGTAATTATATAATATAATTGTAACATGAGTACATTTTATGGAGAAAAGTTTTGTACTCTTCAATCTTACTCTTTTGGATTTAAATCTCTTTTGAAGCTCATTAAGGTATACTTGTCTTTTCTAGCTTTGTTACCTTTATGTTAATTACCATTTTATAATTACTTATTCACCAAACCATGTGACATCAACAAACTACAATACTAAATTACCAGCTCTTACTCTACCATTACATACTCTGTTCTATATTTAAAACATTCTATTCTTCTTGGTAATTGTGTTGTTTACATTTTTTCTTTATTTTTCCTTTTGTAGTCAACACCTTGTTTGCCAACTCTGTCGTTTGATGATGATACAGATGCTTTGGGATCATTAAGAATAGGGAAGTACACCCCGGTAATCACGCTTTCCTTTGAAAATGAATTTTATATGCTAATCTGAAACTTTTTCTAAACAATATATTTATTCCTGTGAAGTGGTTTAATAATGTCCATTCAACTGAAGTCTCTGATAAATGTGAGGATGCTCTTAATCTTTTGTCAAAGGCGCATGGTTGTGAAGTAAGTTGATTGTTTGCACTTTATTTCTTGTTTAGCATGACGAACTCAATCAAGTCTAATTATTGCACAAACTCAAATTTGAAGGTGATAGAAGTTGTTATCCCAGAGATTTTGGAGATGAGAACTGCCCATGTTGTTTCCATTGGCTCTGAGTGCTTATGTTCATTGAATCCTGATTGTGAAGAGGGGTAGGTTTAAGTATATTTCCTTTTTGTTTGTTTGAGGATGTATGTTTGTGTAGATTGAAGCTGTAGTGTGTTTTAGTAATTTCATTTTGTAGTCCCCCCCTCACGCTTGGGCCTCAATGAGCCCAAAGCGTGGATGATGCGGGAAGCCCAACAATGGATCACTAGTCTCTGATACCATCTCAGAATTTGGCTTGGGCCTAACTCATCCCTACAAAACCGGCTTGTAAGGTGAGGATTGCCCCCACTTATAAACACAACACATGCATATCTTTAAGCAATGTGGGACTAAATCCACCCCTTCAAAGCTAACACAATGAAAGTTTTGGGGCTGCAATGAAGGCAAGCCAAATGCCGCAATTAAGGCGACTAGGGGCGGACCGCAATTAAGGCGGAAAGTCCAACAGATTTTAACAAGGCAATTTAGTTTTATGTTAAAAGGCATCCTTCTCATCTGGAAGTTTTGAAGAGAAATTTATGGCGGTTTCCTTACTTTTCTTTCATAGGAAAGACACAAAATTGACATATGATACTCGTACAAGTTTGGCACTTTTCCGGTCGTTCACAGCTGCAGATTATGTTGCAGCCCAATGTATTAGGTAACACGAATTTATTATAAATATACCAAATTTACATCTTTTTCATTCAAATGTAAACTGTACTTAGAAATTGTTGTGAATGTAGCTTCTAAACTTCATCTTATATGTTTCAGGAGAAGGAATATGCATTATTTCATGGAGATTTTCAAGAAAGTTGATGTCATAGTGACTCCAACAACTGGGTATGCATGTATAATGAACAATTATAGTAGAAATTCACTTCATTTTAATGAACCATTGTACTTTCTTCAATTTCTGTTCAATCGATATTGCGGTTTGGGTTCATGTATAATTCTTTGGCAAGATTAAAAGTTGACTTTTTTAATCTAAATAACAACACATATGACATTTGTTAAATAGTTTCTTGGTATTAGGACAATCGTAGTATCATTATAATATCAGATATCTACTTTGTTCATGTGTCATTGAACCAAGAAAGAGATTGAAACTTACTAGGAAAACCTAACCGATCTTATCAGATCTGGTGATTTGTCTTTGATCAGTTTTAATAGCATCATATATTGTATGTTATGTGTATAATTTTGGGGAGGGTGGGACAGAAACAAATGTATGTTATGTGTATAATTATGGAAACAGATGTTTACAAAATTGAACCACAACTTATTTTGGAAATGTTTGTTATTGTTGCTGAAATGCTTTTATTTGTAACAGCATGACGGCGCCCATCATACCTCCAAGTGCCCTTAAAAGTGGTGAAACAGATATGCAGACAACAGGTGATTTGCAGAGTGGCATCTTAATTAGCATTATGAGATCACTTTATGTTATTACTATCGAATTTTAATTATATAAACAACCGAATACAACTTACTACCTCTGTCCCTAAATATTAAACCCTTTTGAAAATTTCTTTTGTCCCTTTTTATAAGGCTTTCTTTAAATTTTCAACTGCATTAATTATTCTACATACCACAATTTATTTTACATTATTTTTTGCAATCAGCAATAAATACTATCATAAAAACCTAAACTAATTCTCTCTTAAAGGACAAACTTGTAAAAACAATATTAATTACCAACAAATTTAACATCACTTTCCACTTTCTTAATTCTCGTAATTTTGCTATAGGGGTTTTATATTCAGGAAAGGAGGTAGTATAGGTTTATAATCTCGCAATAAGATGACTTGTTTGTTGGTATACGATGACTAAATGGGGTCTTTAGACTCATAGGTCAGCAAAAGAGCCAAACTAAAGTTTTTTCCCAAAAATATAGCCGCAAGATTCTGGATCCATAATCTATTTATCATGACTGAATCCCCACAAAAGTTTTTCCCTGTGAGATATATAGCTCTAGCTATTTTAGTAGCTTCCTCTCCCTTATAGCCATGTCAGCATAACTAACCAAAAGTTAGTTATGAGTGAGAGTTCTCTTGTGCCAGGTTTTAGTTTTCACAATAACAGTTTTTCAAAGGAATGAAATACTTTTCTTTTAATTTTCTCTCATCTTAAGAAAGTACAATTGAAGGGAGAATTTTATCAGACAATTATAAGACCAGCGATGTTATACGGGGACAAAATATTGAATGGTAAAAAAGCAATATAAAAATAAAATAAATTTGGTATGGATTAGGTTGTTCTGTTGGATGTGTGTCAAGACTACACAAATTAAAATTAGAGATGACAATATTAGAGAGATTGTTGGGGTAACATCCATAGTAGAATAGATGGTTGAAAATAGACTTAATGGTTTGGGCATGTAGAGAGAAGATTTTTCAATTTTGTAGTACGGAGAGTAGATCAGATGGAAGGTAGTCAAACTATTAGGGGTAAGGGAACACCTAAAAAACCATAAGAGAAACTATTAGAAAAAGATCTTTAGATTAACGAGCTGGATATAATCATGGTTTTTGTATAACATTATGGTGTAGTTTGATCCATGTAGCCAGCCCAACTTAGAGGAACAAGGCTTGGTTGTTTTAGTTATTTTCTCTCATCTTACACCTTGCAATTTGTTTGCACTAGTTGTAATGGAAATTTATGGATTGGATGTGTATAATTGGACACCGTTATCTTGACAAATTATACATTTAGAAGTTAAAACCTGATAATTCATGACAGTACTTAAAATAAAATTCCATGATTACAACAACTCCCCAACTAGTACACAACAACTTACTTTGTTACATATATATTTTAATTAGAAGTTTGTTTTCTCAGGTTACCTTATGCGGTTCGTTGTTCCAGCAAATCTTTTGGGATTCCCTGCTATTTCTGTCCCGGTAAGTGTGAGTGATATCAATCACTTGAGAGTACTTTTTTATGATATGTCTACTTTGAATAAGATAATCCATGATACTGCTAATAGACTGATTATTTAAGCTAGCAAATATTTTTGATCAAAAGCTAATATTTGGCACAGGAGATGCCAAACTAGGTCACAGAATTACAAACCAACTTGAGAGGGAGCATCCTGCTAACTCCCCAACCCCAACAAATGTCGCAGGGATTCACAAAATAACAAAAGAAATAGATAACATATCAAACCACATCATAATTTTAAGAAACACCCCAACATGCAGCAGGATTAGTCAACCAAAATAAACTAGGGTATCTAAAACAAGATAATCTCGCAGTTAGCCAACTCTATGCTTTCTGCTCTGCCACTTCTACAATCTTTTCCATTTTGATAGTGACATCATATTTCAATTAACCAGATTTGCTTATGTGGGTGCTCTATTCAATGCTAATCTTCAAACTAAACTACAAAGCTTCAGTGGCACATGTCTGTTCCATATTTTAGCAAAAACTAAATCTGGATTGTGGGTTCTCCCATTTTAAATTCCCTTATATGATGTCTTAACTGTATACTTCCCACCCTAGTCTCATTTTAATCACCAATAGTTAAGGCCACCCTGTTCAAAATTACTTTAGAATTTAGATAATACCACCAGAAGTTCATTTAACAGTTGAAGTTCTCACAAATATAATGTATATACTGTTTATTCTTTTAACTGACATGTTCCTTCTATAGGTGGGTTACGATAAAAAAGGACTTCCAATAGGTTTGCAAATAATTGGCCGACCATGGGCAGAAGCTACTATTTTGCGTGTAGCATTTGCAATCGAGGTACGTGTATTTTCATGCATAACTATAGTAAGTCTTGATACTTAAAGGCCTCGTTACAGTTTATGTAATTTACAAATTATTTCCTCTCTATATACAATTATTATAGTTTAATGTTCTAAGCGTAATAATGTTTTTTTTAGTAAAACATAGTGTAAAAACATTAACATGGATCCAATGGACTGTCACACGATCACATCATGTGATTCATGTATGGTTGATGTTTGACATGTATCATTATCCGACACTAATACATATAATTATATTAATTTATTATTTTTTAAAATTATTATTGGTGTCGAAATTGGTGCCAGGTTCTGAGCCGTGTCGGTGTTGATATCAGGTCCAGTGTCCGTGTCAATGCTTCACTTTGTCATGCTTATTAGATGATATTGATAAATGTAAACATTTTTACGCCGACGTTGTATATATTTTTTTATTGTTCCCTAAACATACTTTCTAATTTATTCAGAAACTCTGCGGTGAGTCAAAGAAACGACCTGTATCATTCTATGATGTTCTGAGGGCTAACTGAAGCTTAGATACTCTTGCTGGCTATTAATCTGTGGCTGAAATCTTCTAGCATTATTTAGAGATCGCCGTCCTGTTAACAGGATTTACGGTATGGCAAAGTTCTCTACAAATAGTTTTTTCAGACAAGATTGTAACAATCCCTACAGACATAATTATTGTCTAGAAAATAAACGATGAAGGTAACATGCACTCTATCAAGATGTAGAAATTGTAGAAAGGGAGCTTCTTCTCTAAGAATTTCAACAGATTTGTGCTTACTCTTAAAGGTTATACATTTTGTATAAACATTACTTGTTGGAGTGATTATCTCGGTTCTTACTAATACCAAAGTGACAATGTTAATCTTTGATGAAATATCAATTTCTATTCTATTTTGACTAAGGAAAAAGACGCATCAACATTGCTTTTGATTCTATCCGCCAATTACTTACTGCACTTAACACAAGATCTTGAGTAGAGGAAAAATGAACAGTTTTTCATTTCTGGCTACCTTATCAAGATTGAAGTAATTCAACTGTTCTTTAAAGAACCGTTCCCTGCTACTCAGCAATATTGTTCAAGAATTTGTTGTTTCTTTCCTTCCAAAAACTTAAGATTGCTTCTAGATAATATTAAAGAGCACTGTGGGAGAATTCTTTTTATATTTTTAGTATTAGTATACATTAATCCAAATGTTCTTACTTCTACCACCAATCAAAGAGGAGGAATAAAACGTCGGTGAAAAAATCTTAGGACTTTTTAAAGTAGATTGCAGCTTCAGAAGTCTTGAGAATGTTTTTCGTGGATGCGGGTTTCATGATTATTTGCCCTAAAAAATAAGAACCAATCATATACAAATAAGAAGTGAGAAATGATAGATTCACTAGGACAACTTGACATCATCTATGTCTCCTCTACCCTATAGTACAAATCTTAACATCATGCATGGTGAAAATGAATACCTTTGTCATATGAGACCCACAATAGTGTAGTTAACAATTACTCAATAATCAACTCATTCAACCCACAACATAATTCAAAATCTCCATTGGAATAAGAAATTCATATAATTTTACTTGGGGAATCTAGTGTTCTACATGAAAACATGTATTCTGTAATTGAAATATATTTAAAATCATTAATTAATTAATTTTAATAATAATGTATCTATAGTATATGCACTACACATTTAAAATTATATATACCAAATAACTTAAATTTTAACCGATAAATGGCTACATTTTATTTGCACTCTTAACATTTAACAATCTTATTTTATAAATTGCAGCACGACATTAAAATATTTTTTAATAAAAAAACGACATTAAAATAATTTTTTAAAAATTAATTGGTAAGCACTTCAGTATTTAATTTAGGATAATTTTTTAATGCATCTTAGAGCAACTTTAACGCATAGTTGTTAAACCAAAATTTTGTATATCTTACCTTAGTAATAAGGAGTTTGCATTATAGTAGAACTGACATGACATATAAGATGCTCTAAAACTAGTTTACGTGCTCTACACAAGCAACGTACTCTAACTCATTATTTAACATAAATAATAGATTTTTATTAATTATTTAACATAAATAATAGATTTTTATTAACCATTTAATACCAAGTTTGAATTCCTTATAAACAATCACGATTGAAGTAAAAACTTCTTAATTCAAATAACTTAGTTCATCCAATTTAGTTGCTCCCATTAAATATGCTCTTATAGGTTACTTATGAACTATGCGAAAATATTAAAATATCCTTTAGGTTTTGAAGATGCATCTCCGGACGCATCCAATACACATATAACGTAGGTCATTCTAAATGACTGCCCTATATGCTGGATTTTTTTGCTGGATTTTTTTAATATTGAAGATGCATCTCCAGTGTATTTTTGTAAATACATTTTCGTAACGTATGCTGGCAAAGGCTGAAACAAATAACTAGTAATTTGGCAAAATGAAATTAACATTCATATCATAAAATAAATATTACATAGGTGATTTCAACATAAAATCCGACATTACACTTCAATATACAGGTGGACGCTTCAACATCTTCACAATATATTCGACCAATTTTGAAATCGTCGCTTCTAATTCAAGCATAACTTTTGTTTCAAAAAGGATATACGTATTACACATATCTCTTACATCTACGTTTGTCTTGAGCTCAAAGTTGTTAAACTCAATCTTCCCTCTGTTGTCAATCGACAATGAACGAAATTTGAGCTTCACAATTTTTCGATTGTCTCAATAAGGTAGGAGATTATGGACTTCGTATTTCAGATCTGCGAGAGAGGTGTACTCGGTAAGTTTAAACTTTCTCTCAAGTCTCGCGCTAGAGAAGGAGACATTTGCGGGATACGAGGTGATGTTTATTTGGAACATTTAAGAAATTTTGTGTTTGTGTGAAATAAAAAGCCAAAGCCCTTAAATTTATAGAAGCAATGGACAAATATGGATCATTCAAAATCTGGCATGTTAACTCTGAAGATATATATCCGATTCCACACCCTATCATCTTGTTCTAGAGATACATCTCTAAAACCTCTCTTGAACTAGTTCCAAAACAGAACCTTTGGAAACATAACTTATTTGAATATTTTGTTTGAAAAATAAACAAATGTTGTTGGAAAGATCAATTATATTGTATTAAAGTATTAAGAAATTGAATGCATTACACTTAATTAATATTGACATAATTACATACATTTAATTAAAACGAATCAAAACATCTTTCGCTGGCTAAATCTACGGGTGACACCCTTTTTACTTTTGAGCATTTGATTCCCTTTCAATGTTGTTCAAATTCTCAAACTCTTACATCCTTTCCACAAAATGGTCTGAAAAAATCTCGGCTTTTGTTGTTGAATGAGTCGTCCACTATGGTGATGTAAGTGGTATAGGGCATCCCAGTTTCAAGTAAACTTGAACAAAATATCGTGATTTTGAAAGTCACCCAATACACATAATAAGATCATTTGGATTTTAAGGTGGGGCGGTACACAATTGGAAAAAGGTTTCCGAAAAATCATATCGTGTAAGATCAACACACACCATATCATACGCATATGCTATGAGATGGCCCATTTCAAGAAAGCACATCCATTTTGAATCCAGTGTCGATCCATTAAGGTAAGGAATAGGAGGCCCATAAACTTCATTGAAGTGTTCTTTCTGTACATTTGTGTGTATGATTCTTTATGAGTTCTCAATTCTTGGATAAGTTGATGCCAGACAAATGTGTGATTATCTTCTCCTTTACTGAGTAAAGCAGAAACATCTTTATATCCATAATTATCGTTTCCCTCAACATTGACGATCCACTCAATGTATCTGTGCATAAGAATCAACATCTTTTCAATGAATGGGATCTTTGGCAGAGGTGGCGAAAGAGGTGGTTTGCTAATGCGAGCTCCTTTGACAACACGTTTTTTTTTAGATTTTGGAGTTGGCGAGTCCAGAAAACTTTGTCAACATGTTCAAAATATGAAGGAGATCGTGTCGTCAAATTGTCATTCAGTGTAAGCTTGAGTTTCTTTGGAGCACCTTTTGTTTTCACTAGTTGAGAGGGTGGTTTCAAGTCGGTGGTTTTGGGATAATCAATCTTCCTTAATTGTTCTTTGATGTGTAGTTTCATGTTGTCATCGTCTTTCAAAAACTTATCTTGTATCACTTATCATTCGATCAAGATAGAGATATTCGATTTACCATCCTTCGTGACACCATCATCATTGAAACGAAGTCTCTTCTAGTGAACGCAAACCTCATTCATTCTTATAGGGCTACTAAGTTTCATCTTTTTGGCAATAAAACAAGCACATGGGAGATCATATGCTTTCACAATTGTGACCCACACTTTGCACTATTAGAGCCTACTTTATCAGCTCGTTTAGTCTCGTAAAAAATATAATTCAAACCCGCACGAGAAATATTACCGACTAACTAAGAATAAAGATTATTGTCTTTAAATCCGTGTTTTGAAACTGCGATGCTCCGACCAAATGATGTATGTATCTCATTATGCATGTTCTGAATCATTTGGTTCACGGAGTCTCAATCTCTACACAAATCGCCCTTACTATTTTCCAACCTATTCTTCAATGTAGCATGAGGACGCTCAATTCGGTTAGTTGTTGTATTTCCAAGGTGTCTAACTTGATCATTTCAAGCACAAACAATTTTCTCCTTCACCTGGTCAAGAATTGTGCTTTCAACAAATTAAGATACTTTTCGCACACTTTTCTGAAATGCATAACGAAATCGGCATTCAATTCTTTAGTGGAAGAATTTACTATACGATTCCATGCATCCATTATTTTTTCCACAACCACACCCGCATACACCATTTCTTCATCTTCGAACTCTATCTTTTTCGTCCCTACCGCATGTTTAACCTGACTTCTCACATTCTTTGTTATGTGATACCTACAAAGTAATGCATAAGAAGTAAAAAATACCTTTGCAACTGAATTCATCAAAGCGGTGTCGCGATCGGTAGCAATCAGTTTAGGCATCTCGTCTTGGTCCTTCAATAGTATCCAACATACCTCTAAGGCCCAAGGAACATTCTCCTTTTTTTCACTCTCTAGAAATGCAAACCCGACAGAATAGGTCTTCTTAGTAGAGGTAACCCTAACCATCTCCAATAATGGAAGTCTATACTTGTTGGTCTTGTAGGTTGAATCAAGTATGAGCACAGTAGGAAACGTGTTGAACAACTTGATGGAATTCGAATGTGGCTAAAATATATCTCTAATGGTAACTGCATTCTCGCATGTTCGATACCTAAACACATAATTGTCATCATCCAACAGTTTCAAGAGTTGTTGCATTTCAGTTCTATTCTCCCCTAGCGTCTTGTTAGTTTGGTACCGAATATTGTACACTTGTTTGATATTTGAGATTTTTTTGGGTCTTTTCTGTTTCAATGTTGCAAGTATATTTTTCAGTTGAACCAAATTCAATGTCATGTCAGCAACACATTCCTTCTCTTCCAGCATGAGTTGACACACAATTGGATGACCGACTAACTTTTCACACAAATCATGGTTATCCAAACCACAAATGACATTAAATCTCTAGTTTTTGTTTGTCAACATATAACCACACACCTTAAAGGGAAACTTACATTTTCTTAAACCGGTATCGTCTCGTTTAAAATTTCGGAGAGGAAATATATACTTCTCGCTGTTAGAAAATTGAGTATGATAATCCTGGATATCTTTGAGGAATCGTGTTCGTACACTTTCCGAACAAAGTATTTCGACCCTATTATTTGTCTGGGTTCACGAAATTTTTGTGGGGATAATTCTTGAAGAACAATTTGCTTCTGGCAATAGAGAACAGATCAGAAATGTAGAGAGAAAGTATGATTTTCGTTATTTTGTGTTAAAACTGAGGTCAAATGACTCCTTTTATAGGAGATCAATAACAGAAACTGAAAAGACACAACTGTTCAAAAATTTCGAATGGGTTCAATTGTTCAGAAAAATTTCGAACGGGTTCAACTGTTCAGTGGGACCCCAGCCAGGGGCTCTGTCCCATGGAACCCCTTTTCAATTATTCGCATTCAATTGCACGTTGGCTCGACGAGCGTGCACTCCGCACTACCCTAACTCGTTTCCAAGTTTAACGCATAATTGCATCGGCCTACAATAAATCACATTACTACTAAAATACATTGATGATACTAAAATCACCAACACCCGCTTCTTTCGCACGCCGTCGTCACAAAAGCACATCTTCTATCTGAACCATTATCGGATCTTATAATAACCACACCAAATCCCTGTTTGGAGGCCTCCATACGAATCCATTGAAGCATGTGATCACGACATTCAAACTCTTGCTCATTTTTAAATTGGTTGTCAACATCTACTGTCTTCACAACACACTTTTGACATTCAGAGGCACAACTTGTCTGGGAAAACATCGAGGTGCACCATATCTAATGAAAATAATTACCACAAAACAGTAAATAAGCGCTACTACTGAAAACAGAACTGAAAAATGAATACAGACAGATACCAGAAATACATCTTCGGAAGAGGTCATACTCGTTCTTGAGGTATATTTTCGGAATAAACGTTCATTTTTCAATCAAAAAACAAAATTAATTTGAACAATAAGACTTGAAATAAATGATTTTTACCTGAAATTCTAACTTCTTTTGTTTTTTTTAATGTGATGAACCATAATATTGAAGATTTGGACTAAAAATATGAATTGAGAATGGAAGAATTTTTTATGATGGATATGATTGTGTGAACATGCAGTTGTATTTTTTATCATATTATTTTAGAGATATATTTTTCAAAAATATCTAAGATGATAACAAATTTCAAAATTTCACTAATCTAATTAATTATAAATAAAAAAATTGAAAACCTCAAATTTATCATGTCTCTTCCTTCGTGCTTACCAACAGAACACCACCGGGAAATAACTTAACCCCATAAAGTTCATCTCACTCCTTATCAATAAAAAAAATTGAAATCTAGAAAATTCATCATTCTCATTACCTTCATCAACCAAAAAATTTAAAACCTAGCAAATTTATCACTTTCATCATTATCAAAATAAATATTCATTCAAGTCTCGCGTTAAATGGTAGGATGACAAAAGAATTAGAATATTTTATGAATATAGAATTAATTTGAGTTTTTGTCAAATTAGTAGGTTAAATTAGACTTTAATAGGTTAAAAAACACACCGTTTAAAATATCAGCCGTCCTATCCTAATACACAATTATCTAGTTTGCGATATAAACCGTTTGATTTCCCACTAATATCATTTCAGCTCCATCCATTTTCAGTATTCAGAAACAACCACTCCTTTTTTTATTCTCTTCTTTTGTTTCGATTCAAGATTCATCAATGGCTCTTCTGAGAATTCAACACATTCCCGTGCTCTTCACCGTCTCACCCATCATCACCAACACCAAATTCAAAACTCGAATCTCATGCTCCAACGAAAACACCAACAACGCATCACTCGCATCAGAATTTGCACAGAAAGTATCAATTATCAACGCACGTGCGGTCCAAGCAGAACAAGTCATGAGAAAGAGCAGAAAGATTCTCTTCAAAGAATTCTGCAACTATCTTGACCTCAATGAAGAAGCAGCTAAACAAAAATGGAACAAAATTGATGAAGATGAGAAATGGGTTTTGATTAAGGGATTTGTTCAAGAACTGAATGAATTTTTTCAACCTTTGTCTGCAAAATATACCAAAGAATTGGTCGAAGAATATTTGCTTAAAGAGAATCTTTCTCCCAAATCTCCCCCTCCTCCTTCTTCTCCTTTGTTTCCCTTTGATAGTATAATTGGTTTTCCATAGAAAACAATTCCATGCTCTATTTTTTTTTTTTGTTCTTCATTTGAAAAATTAGCAGAGAAAGAAAATTCAGTCTGTAACTTGTAATTTCCCCCCGAGCAATTTGTTGGAGAAAACATGTTTTGTTTTGGTTAATTAGTTCCTTTTTCTTTTTTTTTCTTGAAACAGTACTATTTAATCGAACTAAAGAAAATAATGGGTTACCTACCAAACACTATTGAATTATTATAGACATTATACTACTACTTCTCCTACTACTACTACAACTACATATTTAGCGCAACCATTATTTTAAACAGTGATATCAAGACTTGGTAAAGCAAGAATTGTTGTAGGTAAAACTGGAGAAGACAAGCCAAGGTGATGGAGATGAATTCAGAGCTCCAGGTTATCAACAAGTTCTTGGTCTTGTGAAATGCAAAAAATGATTTAGAATATCTATATACAACCAGACAGCTATAGGCGTTGTACTTTGCCAATGTAATATATGTGAGAAGTGCAGACATTGTCAGAAGTACACTTGTCTGCAGTGTGCAACTGTAGTTTCCGCTGGACAATACGGGCACTTGAATGTTCGTGTGCTGTTTTTTGATAACTTCAGAATAGATTGCTTGCAAAGGACATGTAAGCATGGCAGGAGCATTGGAGGATTCTCTTCATTAGCTTGATCCCTACTCACAGGGCAAACGAAAATCGAATGGAACTGAAATTCTTTACCTAATTCTACAGGTACTGGCAAATGTCTCATGTCCTGCCACTCCTGCTTCTTTGCAGCCATTACATTTGCCAGCTTTAGCAGTGTGGGCAAGCCTTCAACACCAGCTGCAAACACCATACTCAGAGGGTTCTTATAGGAATGTCCCATAAGAGAGCAGAACTGTCGCGCAAGCTCTTCAGTTGTTGTCTCCCAACGAATTGGGGATAGCAATTCAGAATAAGGAGACTTCTCAAGCCTTCTTATATACATGAGGCAACCCATGAGCTTTTGGAAGTCATCCTTGTAGGTCTCAGCAAAACGAGCAAGATACGTTCTGGAATATTTTAGGGCATCAGCTTGGGTTCCATTTTGCACAATCTCTACATAATGCAGTGAGTGAACCTTAAGTTCAAGATTGGAACCAATCTGAGCAAGTTTTTCACTATTGGCAGATACCCATGTGAGAGCAGGCTGAAGGTTTCTACCCCTCATGGCTTCAATAACCCGGTGCATTTCCAGAAATTGAGATCTAAGTGCAGTTGCATCAGGCTCCCCAGCCTCATTCAGGATGTTATCTCCAAGATCAAATAAACCTTGATGGTAAAAGTGGCTTGCAATGATCTGATTGATAATATGAGTATCAAAGTCCACATTTCTGTATGCCTTTGAGATGTCAGGGTTTAACGATTTTTCAAGAAGTTTTTGATACTTGAGAAGACTTGAGTTCAATTCCTTATGTGGTCCTTCTAACTGTTGAAGTGACCCAATAGCATTGAGCTTTGACTTAAGTTCTGTAAGAATGGATTTCTGGTCAGCTGGAATTGAGGGATCCTGAGGTGACTGAAGTGTTGCCAATGCCTTCTCAATTTCATGCCCTACCTGGTCAACAGTTTCTTGAGACTTGGAAGAACATAACTTTTGCTTCTTAGCGACACGGTCAAATGCATCTTTGATGCTATTAAGCTCCATCTTTATGTTCAGATTACAAGCTCCTGAAAAATTAAAAAGTTAGAAAGAACAACTACGTACGGATGTTCATAAAGATGCGAGAAACTGTTCTTTTATAAAAACTAGGTATGTGGATAGCACAAAAGGAAGCATACCAGTAAACGCTATCGCAACTGCCTATAGTCCACCATTACCAACAATAGTCAATAGTTACAAAACTTTATTAAGAACAATACTCATAACAAGCAATAAAAAATGATGAAACCATTTCCTTATCATTTGGTTTCTCCACCTTTCAGAGAGCTTAAAATACATTTCTACGGCCTAATAGTGCTTTATATTTGATTTTAAAGCTATATCAGCCCCCTTTATAAGTCTGACCAAAATAGTGCTAATTTGCTCCAACTAATTTATCTATTTCCCATTTTACAAACTAGTGAGTGGTTTGCTCTTTGATGTTTATATGAATTATTGATTATACAAAATTATCCAGAAACCAAACTATACCAAGGTGTATTAGTAAATGCTAACTCATCTATGAAGACAACAGAACCTTTTCACACTAGATGAGATCAGCTACGTGGACCAATCAACTCCATAATTGTGGCACAAATTAAATCCAGAGATAGCCCATTTACACCACTTAATCCTCCTTCATTATCTGGGCAATAGTTATACCTCTTTCCACTATATGACATCAACTACACAACAGTGTTGTCGATGGCGGTCCATGGCAGAGAGGCAAAATCCCGCCATATCGGCCGTTTTGTGGAGCCGTTATTGCGGATTATGGCAGAAAAACCCGCAATAGCGGTCAATATTTACCATTGCGGTGAGCCCAAAAACCGCCATGTAAATCCGCCATAGCGGCCATGGCGGGGAAATTTGATAACACTGCTACACATATTAATCAACTCTATAATATGGTGTTGTGTATAAAGTCCACAAATAGACCATTTACCACTTAACCTCCCCTAATAGTCTGGCTTAGTTTTCCTTTGACCCCCACCCTCTATCTAAATATATGACTATCTCCCGTTAGCTCAACTCTCCTTGTCTGTGCTTCAGTGAATCTTCTCTCCACATGCCCAAATTACCTAAAATGAGACTTTACCATATTTTTCACAACGAGGGCCACTCTAACAATTGTATTCCTAATCATGTCTATCTAGTCTTACATTACCAACTTATCTAAGATAACACTCACATGTCTGAAATACTTACATCATAATTCATATATGATGAGGAGCCAAAGTATAAACATAAAAAGAATTAGAATCCTTATTAAAGTTAACCAACGAAATTCAAAACATCAAACACATAATCTCAGATCTTCAATTAACTAGCAACCAAAATAATAGTCCTCGCTCCTCCCCTATGAAGTATCTATTCGTTGGTAGCACTTATTAAAATTAACCAACGAAATTCAAAACATCAAACACATAATCTCAGATCTTCAATTAACTAGCAACCAAAATAATAGTCCTTACTCCTCTCCTATGGTGTATCCATTCATTGGTAGCAGGTACCCATGATACAAGTATACAACCATAGGTTTATAGTAAATCATCTTATGAAAACAAAACAATGACTGCACAAATGTCTACCAACAAAAAAACTATCATTGTGAAAATGATTAATCTTCTCATACAATGTTAAATGTATATACTATATAGCTATATAGTACTACAATGTTCAAGATCACTGAAACTGAATTTTACAAACTAAGTACTGTATATCATAATTCTGTAATCTAGAATTTACCAAACAAACTAAACTGTAAATACGGTAAATACGCAGAACATGATCTATCTTTCCCACAAGAAAGAGTCAAATATCAAAATGGTAAATGTTAATTACAATCTTTAAAATAACTTACTTTTCAAATCTGCACTTCACAAAAAAAAAAATCATAAACCTAGAATTAACTATGCAAGATTAATAAAACCTAAGTATATTTATCAAGAATAAACATGAATGAAATTAAATCAATACTGATTTCAATAGAATGAAATCAAGTAAATAATGCAGAATCCCTAATTGCCAACAAATGTTCCACAAAACATAATTAGGGAAAAAATTCAATTCAAAATTTCACTCCAAGAACTGTGAATTCAAACTAATAACGAAAAACGGAATCAAACTAAAAACAAATCAAATTTGGTATAAAAATTAACATAAAAATGAAAGCAAGCATGCGTATAATTCAGTTACGTGTGATCGATTATCTAGAGATGAAAAAATTGAATCGTGGAAATAAAGGAACGAAAAATCGAGAAGTGAAATGAGAGAGAGAATGAAATTTAAACGGTGGCGATACCTGAAAGAGTGTGAAAGAACGGAGGAGAGTCCGGGTTTGAGGGAGAAGAGACGACGAGAAGGGAGGAAGAGGGATCGCAAGCGTGCGAGTTCGACTAAATCAGGGAGGTTACGGTCACACGTGCCAAACTATAATCTTCTTGCTTTTTATTTTTATTGATTTACTTCGTTTTATTTATTCTTATTATTATTATTGTTTTTATACACCCAAAATATAACTTTATACTTTTATCCAATAAAAATATATTATTAATTTAAAATTTTTAATATAACTTAACGAGATACATGGTAGACAATGAATGATAATATTAAAAAAAATTATAATATTCGTGCATTTTCTTTTTTTCTTTATTTTATACTTATTAATAAATATATAAATTATTTTATAAAAATATTATTCTTTAATTGTAATGATGGTTTTTTTGGTACTCTAAAATAATTTATAATTTAATTTTAATTTTAAAAAATAATTTATATAAAAATATAGAAAAAATATTATTTTTCTATTATTTAGATTTATAAAACTGTTTTTTAAAATATTACAAATTCTTTTATTCGTTTTTTTAGATTGAAAAACTATTTTTGACATTTTATAATATAAATATATATTATTGAAAATCAAAATATAGTCGCAAATTTTTTAAAAAGTTGTATCTTAAAAATAATTTTTTTAATGAAAATATATTTGAAATAGCTTCAAAATTAAGTGATTTTTTTGAAATTTTGATATTAAAAAAACTTCAATAAAATGATGAAATATCTAAAATAACATTTTAAAAATAACTATTTAAACTAAATTTTCATTTGAAACTTTTCATAAAAGTCTCTTTGTTTTTTTACACAAAATTATATTACACTGTAAAAATCATTTTTAAAAAAAGACAACAAACAGACCCAAAATGTTGGTTCAGTTGATAAGGAGTTGATTCATTTTTCAAAAAATTATGGATTTAACTGTCGTTGTTAATGCAATGTTGAGAATGTAATTTTTTGTGTCGAAGTTTGTTGTTCGACAGAAGCAAGGAGATGTCAAAACACTAAGTATTGTCAAAATGTTAAAGAGTATATCGACCAAATTTTGACTTAATTTATTTGTTTGTTTTAACTGAGTTAGTTGGATTAGTTGGAGATTGTTTGGTGTGCAAGAAACCTCGGTGTATAAATAGGGAGACACCCTGTCATTATAATACATAAAAAGTGAATAACATTGCATATTGCAAAATAAAGAGCATAAGTTTCTCTGCATAATTTGCAACTCTTCTTCTTCCTTTTTTTTTTGTTAAAATCCTAATTTCTTTTCTTCCCCAATTTATCTTATCTTTTCTTCTTCAATAATCATTGTGCTGCAGAATCATCTAGTAATCAAGGTTGGTTGTTTCACTCGAGTGAAGAGTGGAGAACAAGAGGTGAAATTGATCGGTGTGATTGATTCAGAATTCTACAAATATTTAGTGTAATTCCAACATTTGGTATCTAGAGCATTGATTGTGTGATTCTTGGGAAATATAGTGCAATGAATCATCTGAATGGGTATCTTCGACGAGTCTCTCAATTTAGAAGAATCAGAATTACAAAAATTGGTGCACGCAGATAAAGATTGTTTTCTGCTATCAAGATCTTTGGGATCTTATGAAGGAGGGAGTGACGTCGCTTGTAGAAAATGGGACGGATGAAGAAAAGTCTGTATACAAAGAATTGAAGAAGAAAGATTATAAAGCTCTCTTTTATGATTCATCAATGCGTTAATCTAGATAATTTCGAAAAACTGAGTGATGTAGAATTGGCAAAAGAAACATGGGAAATCTTGGAGAAACCGCTTGGAGACGCCGAAAAGGTGAGGTTAAAAACTCACAAAATAATGTATGAATTGACTCAAATGGAAGAAAGTGAAAGCATAACTAATTTCTTCACTGGGGTTACGAAACTAGTGAATCAAAACAAGATTTGTGGAGAAGCATTAACGTCAAGATCAGTTATTGTAAATATCTTGATATCATTGGCTCCAAAGTTTGGCCACGTGGTAGTAGCCATAGAAGAGTCGAAATATTTGTCAACAATGACAAAGGAATAGCTTCAATGGACGCTTGAATCTCATAAACAAATAATGGTTGAAAGAGCTGCAAGCAAGTCGAAGAGTGATATGGCTCTGCAGGCGCAATCAGCAAGAGAAAAGAAAGGCAAAGGAAAATGGTTCAACAACAAAGGTAGAGAGGGCTACAACAATTCGTTTGGTAGAGGAAACCAGCAAGAAGGAATTTCATCAAATCAAAGAAGACCCTCATACCAAAGTAACCATAGAGGCAGTGTTATTGGTAAAGGAAGAGGTGGTGGATGAAAACCTTACAAAAGTCACATTCAGTGTTTCAATTATCAGAGGTTTTTGTCAACATCTGATAACGAATCTTCTGAGGATTTTGGTTTCCCGTCCTTCTTAATTTCTTTGATGTTTGTGCACATATGTGTTATCTGTTTGTCTGTTTTTGTTTTAGATTATGTTTATCAATGCATCTGAATGTTATGTTTTTCTGCCTGAATCTATCATATGATCCAGTGTTTTTCCTCTTATATTTTGTTCTGTCTTAAAGTTTTTCTTAATCAAGATTCTTTTTGATATGACAAAAAGGGGGAGAAAATGGTAATTTTGATGATTCACATAATCAGATACCAAAAGGCAACTCATACATGATATATCTTATCTAATC